AACTCGAATCGCGCCCCTGGTTGTTTTGCAGCCCGTTTGCTCTTTATTTTAACAAGGTCCAATGTCAACGCCGTTGGTCTGCTGATCGATGTTCAATACGCCCTACCATTTATCCTTGCCGTGGACACTCCCGCCCGCGACAGATCTACTACACTATGGTCGACGAGATCTACGCCCCCATCCTCGCTGTACACAGCAAATACGCTCCGATTAAACCTGCTGGTCTTGATGACGTCATGGGCTCCAAGGACCTGGCCGAAGACCTCCAGTCTAAGGTAAGAGGTCATCCGGATACGTATGCATACAACCTGAATAATGGTCTTTGATCCGTAAAAACCTTTGCTGACAAACTCTATCGGTTCCGGGAATGAATGGTCGTTCCACGTATGCATAGCGTGAATTCCGTAGGACATCGACGGGACAACTCGGCTATATTCCCACGGCTGATGTAGAAAGATAACGACACCAGCTTTGAAATCAAATACCGTAGGTAGAACTCGTCACTGGTTGGCGAGACATGTACTAAGTTCAAGTGACCTGGCCGAACAATCAAACGATTTCGTCTAACTCTACTTACGAAGCAGCGATGGCGATGCCTAGGATATTTTGGGGCTTGTTCAACGCGAGCCGCCTCCCGCGTTGAACGATAGCTAGCAAGCGTCAATTGCAGGTGCGGTACAATATAAATGCGAGGCAATATGTATTGATATAATAGTAGTGACTACAACCGCGACCCTTTTGTCTCTCAGCCTCGAGCGAGATGTAGTCTAGGCTACAATGCGCGTCGCTCGTTGTTCGGCTTTTTTATGTGGACACGACGCTTTTGTTCAGGATCAAACACTGAACAACTCATCCGAAGCATATTGTGCGGGCACGCGATCCGGCGTGACGGGATATTGTCGTACGTGCCTTGTCCCGGTGTGATGGACAGTGCTTCAAAGGATTACTGGTGGCGGCCCTACAGGACATCAAGAGCTTAACGGTCTCCCATGTCCACAAGGAGGATGCGCGGACAGAGGTTCTTCGTCGAACCCATGAGTGGTCGAAACTCCAATCTGGGGGCGGGGGCAGCAAGCTCTTCACAGCTGAGTTGAGAGACCACCGTAGTTGGATTATACACACGGCCCCTTGAACTATCAGCTGTCAAATGATGTCCAGGAAACGAACCATCTGAGGCATACCCTAACTAGGGAACGTGGAACCCAAGCCGCGACTTTTGTCTTCTTCAATGAACTGCTGCCCTGGACATGTTGAAGTATTCAGTATATGTGATGGCCACGCGTGATGACACAGCAACCGTATGTCGTGCGGTATCGCTTTCCTCCCAAGAGCCGCATTTTTCGGTGCAACACCGCTTCAACACTGTCACCGTTCTCTTGTGTTATCCCGTTGTGTTCACGTGTCTTTACGCAGACTGTGGCCCAGCATGTTCAAGAGCGTCACTAGCAAAAACCGCCATGCAAAGGTGCTGGTAGATCACGACCCTGCCGAGCTACTCACGGACGACGACGTGGTGCTGTGCATCCAACCCTACTTTGGAGTCGACGGTACGTGCCTCTCGCCGGTGTTTGTACAAACGTGCTTGGGCCACCGCCCCCCTCGCGCACCTCGCTACATCTGGTATCTGTCATGCCTTTGTCCGCTCGGAGTTTTATGCAGGTTCACCCATGTCTACTCGGTGTACAACGGTCGGGCCTATCATTCACACCACGCGATGCCATGCTCGCTCGTTTTGCAACGGCTGACACGTACATGCCTCTCGTTCCAAAAACTTGCCGCGCAGACGAAAGTGAGGGTTTCTGAATCACAATCGCAGCGAAAGGAGGTGTTCCGTGGGACCCGCTGTCGACGTCCTCAGCCCTTACACAAACATCTTGATGTCGTTTTAAGATGCCGTGTGGAGGTCGGTTTAGGAGAGTGAGGGCGAAAAATGGCTGTGCATGAAACGCCGGCATAGCTTGTGTGCGGGGCTGCCTGGGGTGGGGCCGGTCGGTGCACGGCTGAATTTGGGGGGAGCGGGGGTGGGGGTGCCGGTCGGTTGCATGGTTGATGGGTGGTTCCTATGGGCGCCCTGCGTGTTGGTATTTACTCATGCCGTTTCTACGCGGCGGAGGATGATCTACGTAAGCAAAGGTCGAGGGGACTCTCACAGCTGATTCGAGATAGTCGTGTGACGTCTTTTTGGGATGAAGAGGGGGGGGCGGAGATTGTCACTTGTTTTTGCGTGTTTGGGAGACGACGCTCTCTGCCTTGGTGTATCGCTATACACATGGAGTCGCATAACGTCTTGGCTCTACGCTTAGTGAAGAATCAAGGAATCGCGAGCCTAACGTGGTAATGTTCTATCTCCGTGTTATGGGCCGCGGGGGGTGCACCCGAGACAAGGGTGGAGAATATATTTTGTGTATGCATTTGTATTGTCAGCCACTACACCCTATGTGGTGCGTGGTGAGCTCGTACGTAGTCGTACATAGGAATGGCTGGGTCGATCAGCATACTGCAACCTATTGCTCTACATATAATGTATGGTTAGTCCCGTGGACAACACCCACGGGTCCCTGGGACATGTATGCGCCGGGTGGGCTGTGATGTCCAGATGACACTGCCTACGTACGGCTGAATTTGTTGGGAGAGGGGTTGCCGGCTAGTTGCATGCTTGATGGGTGTGGTACGCGGGCGCTTTCGGCGTTGGTATACTTGGTCATGCAGTTTCAGGGCTGCAAATAATTCTAAACGCAAGGAAAGGTCGGGGGACTCTCACAGCTGATACAATACGAGATGGTTGTGTGGCGACCTTTTGGGGCGAAGAGGGGGAGCGGACCTTGTCACATTTGCCCGTGAGATGGGCTTTGGGTAACGCTCTCTGCCTTGGTGTATCACCCTTGCATAGTGAAGGTTCAAGGTATGGCGAGGCTAACGCGCAAGGTCCATGTGTTTTTTCCGAGGTATGAGCCGCGGGGGTGCACCCGACAAAAGGGCGGAGAATCTATTTTCTGTGCCGTTGAACCTTTCTACACGCATTTGTATTGTCAGCCACTGGCCCCTATGGCGTGTGGTAAGTTCGTACGTAGTCGTACATAGGAATGGCTGGTTTGATTCGCATGCTGCAACGTATAGCTCCGCATGAAATGTATGTTTCGTACCGTGGGGGGTGTATGCGACGGGTGGACTGTGATGATTCAGGGTCGGCCAAAGTCTTCTTCAGCGTGACGCTGTCCAGGGTTTTATTCATGACCAATGTAAAGGGTTCGACTGCATCGATTTTATTAATGGCCACATTGTTACGGGAACACAGGGTCGAGTGATGACAAACATGTGTAAGGTCGAGGGTAAGAACCTTGCCCAGGGTTCTACCCCTAATCATGTGCAGGGTAGGACCCGTGATCATGGACAGGGTTCGACTGCATCGACCTTAATAAGGTGGCCACATTGTTACAGCGCCACAGGGTCGAGTCATGCCCAACATGTGCAAGGTCGAGGGTAAGAACCTTGACAAGGTTCTTCTACCCTTCATCATGTGCAGGGTAGGCCCCGTGATCATGGACAGGGTTTGACTGCATCGACCTTATTAAGGTGGCCACATTCTTACAGCCCCACAAGATGTTGAACATGTGCAAGGTCGAGGGTAAGAACCTTGACAAGGTTCTTCTACCCATAATCATGTGCAGGGTAGGCCCCGTGATCACATGGACAGGGTTTGACTGCATCGACCTTATTAAGGTGGCCACATTCTTACAGCCCCACAAGATGACGAACATGTGCAAGGTCGAGGGTAAGAACCTTGGCAAGGTTCTTCTACCCATAATCATGTGCAGGGTAGGCCCCGTGATCACATGGACAGGGTTCGACGGCATCGACCTTATTAAGGTGGCCACATTCTTACAGCCCCACGAGATGACGAACATGTGCAAGGTCGAGGGTAAGAACCTTGATAAGGTTCTTCTACCCATAATCATGTGCAGGGTAGGCCCCGTGATCACATGGACAGGGTTCGACGGCATCGACCTTAATAAGGTGGCCACATTCTTACAGCCCCACAAGATGACGAACATGTGCAAGGTCGAGGGTAAGAACATTGGCCAGGTTTCTACCCATAATCATGTACAGGGTAGGGACCTATGATCATGTGCAGGGTACCAGTGCATGGACCTTATTAAACTGGCCACATGCTTACGGGCCACAGGGTGTTCTGGACGGGACCCTGTGCAAGGGCACAATGGCCACGGGTGAGTGGTTCCATCTGAGATCCTGTTTTTAATCTCCAACCCTGTTTTCTGTGGCACGTGACAAAAAGGGGGCCCTAACCCAATCTGAGATCCTGTTTCCAATCTCCAACCCTATTTTCTGTGGCACGTGACAGAAAGGGGGCCCTAACCCCAACCCTAACCCTAACCCTAACCCTAACCCTAACCCTAACCCTAACCCTAAGGCATACACCGTGAAAACAGCGTTTCAATCTGAGATCCTGTTTTCAATCTCCAACCCTGTTTTCTGTACACGTGACAGAAAGGGGGCCCTAAGCCAAGACATGCACGGTGACAACAGCGTTTCAATCTGAGATCCTGTTTTCAATCTCCAACCCTGTTTTCTGTGACACGTGACAGAAAGGGGGCCCTAAGCCAAGACATACACCGTGAAAACAGTTTTTCAATCTTTAATCCTGATTTGAGTCTCCAATCCTGTTTTCTGTGACACGTGCCAAAATGGGGGCCCTAAGCAAAGACATGCACGGTGAAAACAGTGTTTCAATCTGTAATCCTGATTTGATTCTCCAATCCTGTTTTCTGTGACACGTGACAAAAAGGGGGCCCTAACCCTAAGGGATTCAATCCTCAACCCTGTTTTCAACCTTCAACCCTGTTTTCTGTGACACGTGACAAAATAGGGGCCCTAAGCCAAGACATACACAGTGAAAACAGGGAGTCAATCTCCAACCCTGTTTTCAATCTCCAACCCTGTTTTCTGTGACACGTGACAAAATGGGGGCCCTAACCCCAGGCATACACAGTGACAACAGCGATTCAATCTCCAACCCTGTTTTCAATCTCCATTCCTGTTTTCTGTGACACGTGACAAAATGGGGGCCCTAACACTAACCCCCAACCCTGTTTTCAATCTCCAACCCTGTTTTCTGTGACACGTGACAAAATGGGGGCCCTAAGCCAAGACATACACAGTGAAAACAGGGAGTCAATCTCCAACCCTGTTTTCAATCTCCAACCCTGTTTTCTGTGACACGTGACAAAATGGGGGCCCTAACCCCAGGCATACACAGTGACAACAGCGATTCAATCTCCAACCCTGTTTTCAATCTCCAACCCTGTTTATGTGACACGTGACAAAATGGGGGCCCTAAGCCAAGACATACACTGTGAAAACAGGGAGTCAATCTCCAACCCTGTTTTCAATCTCCAACCCTGTTTTCTGTGACACGTGACAAAATGGGGGGCCCTAACCCAAGGCATACACAGTGACAACAGCGATTCAATCTCCAACCCCGTTTTCAATCGCCAACCCTGTTTTCTGTGACACGTGACAAGATGGGGGCCCTAAGCATACACAGTGACAACAGCGATTCAATCTCCAACCCTGTTTTCTGTGACACGTGACAAAATGGGGGCCCTAACCCTAAAATTTGTCAATACAAGCCCAAACGGAGGCCGCGAAATGGTCCAAGTGTGGGGGAAGCAATGGGCGTGAGGCAGCGGTGCTCAACTGCTTATTTCTCGAGCCCCTCTGCATGAAAAGTGGTTCCGTCTTTTTTGTCGTGCTCGGAGCGCACGTGTGGGTGAGTGTTTGAAAAATCGCAACAAGCAAATTCTTGATAGTGGAGAAAATTCGTCAATACAACCCTAACCTTAACCTTAACCGTAAGTAATCCTGATTTTAGTCTCCAATCCTGTTTTCTGTGACACGTGACAAAATGGGGACCCTAAGCCAAGACATGCTTGGTGAAAACAGTGTTTTAATCTGTAATCCTGATTTGAGTCTCCAATCCTGTTTTCTGTGACACGTGCGTGACAAAATGGGGGCCCTAAGCCAAGACATACACCGTGAAAACAGTGTTTCAATCTGAGATCCTGTTTTGAGTCTCCAACCCTGTTTTCTGTGACACGTGACAAAATGGGGGCCCTAACCCTAAGGGCTACAAAACAATAAACCAATATCCAAAAACTAATACGACACCTACTGGACAAGTACCCTAAGGTCTACGAGCATGTATTCCGAAGCAGCTCTGAGGGCGGAACTGTTCAAGGTGCCCCGCAAGATCGAGCAATGTGCCCTTGAGCGAAAGGAAATCAGGTCCAACAACACCCTCAGAACTCAGGAGTACTAACCATCTCGTAACCAACCATTTGCAGCCAGAGTGCACCACCAAACGCAAACAAGCACAGTAACCCCCACAATATCACCAACATCATGATCGGCACTGTCCTGCTAGCCGTTCTGCGATCGATGACAGGAGGACCGAAGTCTCAGAACCTGAAGCGCTTCATACCTAGACGTCACACACACGTAGCGCAAACATCCCTGAGGGGAAGCGACTTGAAACCTTGTTTACTTAGGCAATGCGTACAATTCAAATGAACTAGCGTTCCGTTCCAGACACCATATGCCCAACAAAACGACCTAGGCGCCAGGATTAGCAACAGCGAATCCATATTGTTGATCGAATAGTATCTTGCAGACGTTGTCATCCAGAGTCAAGCCCCACGCTCCAGCCTGAAAATATCCCAGGCATCTGACACCTTGGTGTACTTCCTCCGACAACCTATGGCAGCAGTGACAAGACCTGCATTCGCTCTTGACACCGTCGACTCAGGGCCTGCGTCAGCAACAGCTAAAAAGTTGAAACTGGAGAGTTGATTGTCGCGGAAGATTCTCTCCAGAATACGGGCCGCCCGTCCGGGGGGGATGTGCTCGCTCACACCGCTAAGCACCATGCAGGCTGCGGCAAGGACTTGATCAGTGGTGATGTTAAACCTTCCGGAGACCCTTGGAAGAGGTGCTCTCTCGTTGCTACAAACAAGAAACACGCGAGATATTGATGTCTTTCAGCGTGAGCGTTTCGGTGGACAGCGAAATGAAAAAAACACGTTCGTCAAGTTCACGGGCGTCGCATCGCCACCCAATACGTTATGGGCATACCTAACCCAGTCATGGATGCATTCCCAACTCCAATGGCGGGTCATACGTGTATTTCGGGTTAAGGCCAACACCCTAACCCTTACCGTAACCAATGGCGGGTAAAATGTGTATGTTTCTATCCACCACCACCGAGGCGCTTGTGATCATGAGGAAACGAGGATAGTCAAACAGTGTTCCTGCCAACCAGACCGTGGGACCCAGTGTCCAAATTATCCAACGCGGTTGCACCCCTCTCAACGAGGACGTCGCCGCGGGAAGTGTTGTATGCCGCTAGAAAATTGTCTGCGGTACCATCACTACACCAATTTTTTTATGAACAGCACCATAACCACAGCTAAGATTTCATTAAAACGCACCTTTCGAATACATCAAAATCGATGTCCTCTGCCCGCAAGGCGGCGGCGTCATACCTCTCTCGAGCACGACCGAGATAGTCCTCAGGTAGACTAGCTCCTTCATCGTCGTAGAGTTCCTCGATGGTCTTGTCCAGTACAGCGGACCTGAGTTCCACGCCGAGTACATACATTTTGGCGGAAAAGCTTCCACTAAATTCTTGATCAGCACCCGGCAATCCTGAACGCAACGTTTGCCCCAAGGCCTTTGTATTATAATCAAGCCATCACTCAAAACAAATCTCACCATAGCCTGTATATTTCCTTTGCACGAGAAGCAGGCTTTGTTGTCTTTTGTAGATCGTTAAGGTGCGTGGGGGCGAAACCTGCGAGTACGCTTCCCGCGGATTCCCTCACTCTCTTCAATACGCTCTTGTCCTTGGCGAACACATGGTAAGCCAGCAATTGAACCGGAAACGTGGCGACGCCCTTGACGTTGTGGCGATGAAGCGGAGCCCAGGATAATCCCTCGATGTCCGGACCCTCCACTACTGGCTCCCCCAACGACAATGGTGCTTCATCTTGGAACACAAAGGGAATGTTCGGAGAACTGCTGGATGCAATCGGCGCAGGAGGAAGGAGTCCTAGACTCTGGGCACTTCCAGTGATCATGTTCGGAGCATTGCTGCTCGCGATCGGCGCGGGCGAGAGAAGCTCAAGACCCGGCGTACTTCCTCCCTTCCGATCAGGGACAAACTTCGAGGCGTTTCTACTCCTAGCGGCTTTCCTAAAGCACGCGACGAGAGCCCCAACGAGGCCAGGCGGATCTTGTGGAGTAGGGTCCGCCCCATGGGTTGCCCGAAAGGTGTTGTTCACGCGGGTGGCGGGCGTGTTGTTTACCTACAAAATACGAAAACCGCAACCAAAGTGTTGACACACATGCACAGACTGGTAAAGCATGACGAAAAGGAACGGTAGGATAACATAACGTGCAAGCGGCGACGGAGTACGAAAACATGGCGCAGAAGAGAGAAAGAGCTTCGAGGCAGACGACCTTCCTCAGAACAAACGCCGCAGGGGCCCAAGAGGATCTGCCATACTTGGTAGCTGTAATGTTGGCCATGAGAGTGCATTTTTGGAAAGCATCGCGGAATCGGTGGAAAGCAGGGCCGACGAATTGATCTCCGGATTCCCACCTCGGCCCCTCGAGCGGCCTCTTGTACGCTTCTTCTTCCGCCTACCTTGTCCACCACCACCGGCCGGCATCATGGTAGTCTAAAATGAATGAAATCTCGAGCTGGGCTAACCAAACCTCTAAATACGATCCTTCCAATGTATGTATGTACCTTGAACGAATCTTTCGTCGACGATGCGGTGTCCAGAAGCTACACCCAGGATATACCATACATGTGTGCCTTACAAGCACAAAGTCGGGAGTTCAATCCCCCCTGCTCCCATTGAGTTAGGTTTTGTAAAAAAAGTGTTCCGTTACTTTATTTATGTGACTCTTCAAAAATGTTAGTTCAAGCTGCTAAACTTTTGGGTGCTGGTCTGGCGACTATTGGTTTAGCTGGTGCAGGTGTGGGTATTGGGACTGTTTTTGGTGCTCTTGTTTTGGGTACCGCGCGTAATCCTTCTCTGAAAGATGAGTTATTTAGAATTGCAATTTTAGGTTTCGCTTTAACCGAAGCGATCGCCCTATTTGCTTTAATGATGGCTTTCCTTGTTCTATTTGCTCTGTAAGATAAAATTCTCCAGTGAAAAAAAATAATGTTTTAGAGAAATTTGTAAAATAGGCGGTGTAGTTCAGTGGTTAGAATGTTGGAATCATATCCCAAATGTCGGGGGTTCGACTCCCTTCTCCGCTAATTATTTTGCGCCTTTGGTGAAATTGGTAGACACGTCAGACTTAAAATCTGTTTCTATTTAAAGAGTATCGGTTCAAGTCCGATAAGTCGCATCTAGATTGGCGAGTGTAACTCAGTTGGTTAGAGTGTCAGGTTGTGGCTCTGGAAGACGGGGGTTCAACTCCCCTCGCCCGCCCTGGCTAGATAGTATAATGGTTTAATGCATTGGGTTGCAAACCCAAAAATGAGGGTTCAAATCCCTCTCAAGCCTTCTTCAATAGCTCAGTTGGTAGAGCATGTGGCTGTTAACCATAAAGTCGTTGGTTCAAGTCCGACTTGAAGAGAGATAATTTGGGTAGCTCAGTTGGTAGAGTGAAGGACTGAAAATCCTTAGGTCGTCGGTTCAAGCCCGATCTCAAACAAAAGAAATGCTTGCAAAGATAATTAATAAATTACGCAATGGATATATGGTATATCATTTTGGAGTTTCTTTTAAAGAAGTTGGCTTTTGTACTAAATTTTTAGATATCCTTTGGAAAGAAAATTTAATACGTGGCTATAAAAAAACAGATAAGGGTACTCTTACTATTTTTTTAAGGTACCATGATGGTTCTCCAATATGTACTCGGTTAGTTATTCTTTCCAAGCCGTGCGATCGTCTTTATCTTTCGTTATTAGATCTTTCTCGGGTATCGGATAATTTTGGTACATTAATAGTCTCAACAACTAAAGGTATCATGACATCAGAAAAAGCTATAAGCAAGGGAGAAGGCGGTGAAATTTTAGCATACGTTGGATGACAACTCCAGTATTTAGATTACCAATAGGAGTTAAGTGTTCAAGTAATAATGGTAAAGTTTATGTATCAGGTAATAAAGGAAGAGTCGTCTTTGATTCTGTTAGTAATCTTCATCGTAAGGGTGATATGGTCATTTTTTCACCTTACTTAACACCTTACTATAGTTCTATTTTTAGGCAAGCAGTTCAAGGTGTAGTTTTGGGCTATACCATAGAATTAAGTCTTAAAGGTATTGGTTACCGGGTAAGAAAAGAAGAAGAAAAACTCATTTTTTTTTTAGGTTATAGTAAACCTGTTATATTAGATATTCCTAAAGATATTTCAATCAGGTTTAATAAAAAAACTTTTTCTTTAATTTCTGCTAATTATGGTACATTACAAAATTTTGCAAGTAGTATAAGAAGCTACCGGTTCCCAGACTCTTATAAAGGAGCTGGAGTTATTTATGCAGATGAAATAATAGTATGCAAAGAAGGTAAAAAAACTTAATGTTCAATAAAAAGCATTCACGTCTTTTTTCTCTTTTTATTGGCTCTTCTGGTTATTTAGTTCCTTTTCCACGGAATGAGTACTCTCAAATTTCAAAAACTTTGCATCCTTTTCTTTTAGGTAAACGAAATATTTATTCTTTTTATGATCTTGAAAAAAGTTTATATGGTATTCGTGCAACGATAGAAGTCTTAAAAAATATAATATCTAGTGAGGGTAAAATCCTTTTTATCGGTAATGAAGTTTCAATGCAATCTCGTTTTGGACAGGATTCTAGCATAAATTTTCTAAAATGGGAAAGAGGTTCTATAACAAAGTCAAAAGATGCAGATTTAGTACTTTTAACAAGCGTAGAAAAAGAAAATTTAGTGGAGGCTCATAGAAAATGTTTATTACTTGTGGGTGTTGGAAGTTCTACTATGAGTAGAATATCGTATCCTTTAATTTAAATATTGAATCTCCTTTTTTATCTGATTGGTTTTTTGGTACTGTATATACAAGTTGTGTTCAAGGTAAACGAATGTCAAAAGGGTCTAAAAAAAAAAATCAAATCATAAGTCTTTTAGGTAAAGGTCCACAGGTAGGGTCTAAGAATTTTAATAAAGATGAGGCTTAGGGCGAAACCACGGGATCAGATGCAGTAGAATCAACCGAAAGAGCTGGGGTAGACGAGGCTACTGTGGGGAGTGTACCAGAGGCAATCGAAATCGCCCGTGTAGTCGAAACTACTGGAACAGTGGTTGGTGATGCGGCGGAATCTGCAAGCGGTGATGTCACTGAAGCAGATGCACGACGGTCACGAAGCCGTTGAGCGCGAGCCGCTGCTTGTACACGATCGCTACGAGAAGAAAAAGGGGGAATCGCCGGCACTGTATAGTCGAACTGCAACGTGCTGCGAGAAGCCGAGCGACTGGACAAGCGTGGTACTACAGGGCCAGCAACATGGTCGAAACCGATGTCGGTCCCAAGAGCAGGGTGCTCAACGGTGGATGGGGCGAGAGGAAAATTCGAGTCGACATGTGGTTCACGCGGGAATTCAGAAAGCTCATCACCAGCAGCCGTCGAGACGGACTGCTGTTGTACACCCAAAGACACAGAGGCAGAAACCGAAGTTCCAGGTGTGGGTGCTGGCGGTTTGAGGACAGCACCCACGGGGTTAACGTCGACCGAAGCCGGCGAGGCGAACCTCTCCCGAATGCGTTGAGCGCGAAGCTCTGACAAACGAGCGGCATCGGCAACAGGGTCAGCGGCACGAGCACCGTCCGAAGACAGCAGCAGCTGTGTGGCCTGACGACCAGCTGCCGGGGACCCGAAGGTCGCTACGCGAGGCGATGACACTGGCGAACGCGAACGTTCCGAATGCTCAGGACTCGCCGAAGCAGAGTCCGATGAGCCGACGCTAGGTTGAGACATACCGATAAGCGAGGCAAAGCTAAGCTGTGGTTGGGACGAAAGCGCAAAAAAAACTGCAGCAGCAGTCTAAAGCACCAAACCGCGCCAAGACAAAACCAAGCCAGACAACACCGTACGAATAAGCCGACAACGCCAAGTGTAGTGGTATGCACGCGTGATGAAGTCTGGTTGACCCGTGAAGAAGAACTCACTTGTTGTTACTCTTATAGAACAGCAGCAGCAGCAGCTATTGCCTTGGGTATCGGTAGGAATGACACCAAGGGGCACAGGATCCTCTGCACAAGCAGGGGCTACTAGATCCTGTCCCCTGCTTTTTATCCTTCCGCGGAGAGTTACATCTCTCCGCGCCTTCTAGAAGGAACCAAGCTCTTCTATGTTCCGTCTACACGTCTGAATCCTATAACAGCCGTGTGTGCTTACCTGACCCGGCCAGGTTATGCCACCGGCGTATAAGCAACCTGACCAGGTTATTATGCCACCGGGGTCAGCAACCTGGGACTTTGTATTAACTGAAAATAGAGTGTTTTTTTTTCGGCATTGTACAATGGTGCATATATATAATGTGCACCTATAATGTGCACCTGTGTCTGTGTTGTTGTGCCGTTCATCATCCACATCGCCGATGATGCTTGTGCCTTCACATCAGCAAGATAGGCGCGCATGGTGTCAAGCCCTATCAATCCTCGATCGGTCCCTATGAAGCAGGAGTATATCCACGCCAGCTTTTGAAATCTTGCCCAATTGTCGAATCAACCTCACATTCACCGGTAGCTTCTAAGGCCCGTCACGTCCCCTCGGCAGGACTTTCAGAGGGCAGCGCACCCTCAATAAAAACGGTGGAAACCGTAACCATAACAACATATACTTTCATCCACAGACCGACTGCAAGTGGCAACCAAGGGGATGGCAACTTGGCATTCTAAAGCAACCCAAACATCACGCGCAATAAACTCCCCGTTCCCCTTTTTTAGTGACGGGAATCGGCGAACTCGCGTGTAAAACCAGACGTAGCACTCAACGGCTTTTCGGTTTGACTATCGCGCTGGCGATACTCACGTGGAATTCTGCACTCAAAAAAATAAAAGCACCGAGAATGGTGTGGAGCAACGCGTCACCTCTTGCGACCAACATCATGCTGACTATTTAAAACTCTACTCTTGCAAACCGTGCTGCTACGACATTACGTTTGGACGTCCCGCCATTGAAATGCTTTCTACCATACCTCACAAGTGCAGCAGCTCGGTCTATTCGGCGTGAAACACATGTGGCGCAGCCTACTGTGGACCGTACAGTCTTATTGAGCGTTGACCACACTCTCCCTGGAGTTTCAGCCGTTGCCCAAGCTCACATTGCAACAAAGGCTCAACCGGCCCCACCCTGTTCTGTACCCATGAATGTATGTCACAGTTGGGTACAGACATTCACGGCCAGCTCTTCGCTTCGTGCACGTTACATACAAACCCCGCTGGTGTTTTCATAAAAACGAAGATGCGCAGCTGGATAATCGCAGGAAGCGCGCCCAAAAACAATTCAAAACGAAAGGTACACAAACATAATCGGTGTTGCTATACGCCACTCCCTCAGAGAGGGTCCAACCAAAGAGGTTCTACTACGATCACCCATAACTTGACACCACTAAAAAAACACGAACCGTGCTGTTCGCCAGATATACACACCTATAAAATGTTAAATGTATGGGAATGGGAAGAAAGTTGAAGCTCAACGATGGCGTACTGGTGGCACGCAGCCGCCAATAAAACCGACGGCAGGACAAACAAATCCAGCACAATAACGAAGGGCTTGGTGTCTTGCCGGTGCAATTGCCATGAGACTCACCCCGAAAAGAAACATGTCCACGACACCGCAAAACGGAATTTACGCGACTCAAGGGCGAAAAGGGCAGACAAAGGCCGCCGAACCAGCCTTCCACAGTCCTGTCCCAAGAGACGCCCTGTGCTTCCGTTCAGAATTAACCAAGCCAGAGGAACAGAGAGAAATAACAGAAAATTTCAGAAAATGATTCAAATCCTGAACTGCTGTGACGACAGCAGCAACGGGGACAACCGCGAAGCCCATGCAACAGTACCCAAGCGCGAAGCACCAGATTACTGCGCAATCCTGGCCCACCCGCCCTACAGCTCCAAACTAATCTTGCAGGCATCGCACAAAAAGTCGGAACTTCTGCCGACCGCCTACTCTACACCACATCACTCTGCGGCTGGCGCCGGTGCCTCGACGTCGTCCCGCCCGATTGACTTCCTAGCCCTCGTGCTTGACGCTGTCCGGTCGCCTCTGGGGACCTCGCTGGCTACCAAGCTACGATCCTCGACAGTGGTGCCAACCGTAGTGCTCGAGGAGCCTTCCAAGTCTTCCAACGTCAACGCTAATTGCCGGCGAGGAGTAGCTCCCACGCTGGCCCCTCGGACAGGAGAAGCCACCAATCCCACCACAGTCGTTCGACGAGCCGGAGTTCGAGCCGGAGTTCGAGCCGGAGTTCGAGCCGGAGTTCGAGCCGGAGTTCGAGCCGGAGTTGGAACTGGAACTGGAGAACGACGCTGGTGTGTGTCTGGTTCTGCATGCTGGTGAGGTCCGTCAGAGTCAGCCGTCGAGGACCGAACGCCGTCGAACGTAAGCTCTCTAGTTCCCAAAGGCAGCACCCCTGACCCGGACATACTGTGTACCGAATTCTCGAGAACATCTGAGTCACTTTTCATACTTGCCAAAAGCCTTTTCTTCAGCCCCGCGCACCCCCTGTACACACCATCGTCTGATATAACGATACTAAAGGCGTTGTCCTGCTCTTGGCGCACGTATATTTTGATCGCCGCGGGCTTGCCATCCGCTCCTTCCCCGCTCGGCAATGAGATTGCCCGGATCAACTGGTCACGATCGTACACGTCTAAAGCCTTGCGCGAGTGACAGCACAAGCACCCGGCAAACGCCGCGCCAGTCACCACCATGAGCATTGCCCCACACACCGTGCCCATGTTACTGACCAGAACACCCGCGACAATTGGCTCTACCTGGTCTAGGCTTTCCACCGAAGACGAGCGGGGGTGCTCGCCGAACGGAGAAACCCGCAGAGCGCCGTTCAACGAATATGTCGCATTCTGCACGCTGAACTTGGTGAGCATGTCCAAGCAACCACCCCCATTCGCAATCCCGTTCGCAATACCCGATACGATCGCTTCCACGAGGCGCGTGGTGCTGGAAACATAAAATACATGGTTTAGTTGCGCTTCTTGCGGTGTGACCTCTTCCGGCATCCAGACCGAATACAAGAAGCTCGGATAACTGCTCTCTTCTTCGACAATCAAGTAAGCTTCGCCCTCGGTACTGTTCAAGAGGATCACCGGCGGGCTCGCACGATCATTTGCGCTAGCGTTAACCAAACTTGGTCCACTCTCGCACTCAAAAACATCACCCCACTTGTTGCTCTCCTCGGCCGTAACATACAGGCTGCCCGTTCTCGACGGCGTAGAGCAAGCAATCTCAGATACTATAGCTTGCCCGTCGTCTATGTCGTAAAAAAGGCCCGACGCGATACGGGATGACTGCGGAGACCACGATGCGAACACAGTGTTCCCTCGTATGATGTTTTCCCCGATACGGTACGTCGTCGTCGCGTTTCCATCCACTAACGTCCCGCGAATGTGACCCAACGAACCCCCCTCAACGATGGCTTCTTCGTTGCGCATCACTATCCAATCTGAAAAGTTGTGCGCGACGTCGACAACCTGCGTGCGGAACACTACGGGCGGTGGGCGATTCAGAAGGTCTACCGGGCCGTCGGTCCGCAAGGCAAGATCAAGAGACAACTCTAGCCCCCACGTCGACACATGAAACGCCGCCAGAAGGATCGTTACTACTCGAGCCATGTCCCACCTACCGCGGTCGCCCAAGGCTTCAGAAAATATGTTGTACTTGGTGACTTCCACAGGTCGCTGATTTTCGATGGATTTCCAAGCCACATTGGCCCTTATTCTGTGGAAGCACCACCGCACGATCGGGTGTAGCACAACTGACAAGAGCAGGACACTCAACGCAATGCTGAAGGCCACGTTATCCGACGACGTCGGAATAATCATCGTCATTTTCTATTCATACACCGCAAGGTTGATCAACTCCACTGGCCTACTCACAAAGCACGTGCAGCCCTACTCAATATTGGCGCAAGCGCTTCCACTCCCACGCGCAGGCAATCCGCTGCACAAAGGTCGTAGCCCCAAAACAAGAAGATAGCTATGTAGCGTCACAGACTCGAGGGGGGGAGGTAATTGGAGGTAGGTATGTACCTCGCCGCGCCTGTCCCCTGCCTGGCTGCCTGGCTGCCTTTCGTTTGTTAGACGCTCGGCTTTTCGTTTCCGTTGCAGGAGATGCACAACGCACACTGAAAGCGCAGCAGGTAGGGGGGGGGGGGGCGGGGGGGGGGGGGGGGGGGGCCCGAAAAAACCTTTTTTTCCCAAGGAAAGGGAAGGGGGAAAAAGGTGGGTTTTAGGGCCAATTTTCCCCCCCGGGGCCCCCCGGGAAAGGGCCCCCCCCCCCCCCCTTTTTTTTTTTTTTAAAGGAGGGGCAAAAAAAAAGGGGAAAACCCATCCATTCTGGGGGGGAATTTAGGGGGGCCCTTTTGAGGTTTTTGTTTTGTTTTTTTCCAAAAGGGGGGGTTTTTTAAAAAAAAACCCCAAAAAAATTTTAAAAATCCCCTCCGG